GCGCACGCTCCGCTGCGGCGGCCTGTGGTTTGCAGGTTCCGATCCTGGGCACGCACCGATGCACCGCTTGTCAAGCCATGCTGTGGCGGCGTCCCATATAAAGTAGAGGAAGATGGGCATGGATGTTAGACCAGGGCAAGTCTTCCTCAGCAAAAAAAAAAAAAAAAAGGAGGAGGAGGATTGGCATCGGATGTTAGCTCAGGGCTGGTCTCCCTCACACACACACACACACACACACACGTCAATGAATGATATAAATCAGTACTTTGTGATTCTCTTCATAAAGTTTTTACCTCCTGGTTTTATTTTAACTCATTGCATTTAAAAATTTAAAAAATATATTTAAAGCACATCACAGCTTTCCACACTGCCCCGTCAGTCCCATCCAGAGTTCTCCTCAGGGGGCGGCCCGTGTGTGCTGAAATCGGGCTCCCTGTTCTCTTGCTGCCCATTCTCAGCAGATGCCCCTCGTCTACCTTAAAGACTCACCCAGAGCAACCCTTCTCTTTCCCTCTTCTGAGTCATTTCTTGCAATTTTTCTTCTTTAGCTGAAGTCCTTTCCCTTCCTTCCCACCTCCCTTCCTCTCCTTTCTGTGAAGCGCAGAGCCCCACTTGATCATAGAAGCTCCTGGAAGCTCCATCCTTGTCCAGGTTCCCATTTTTTCTATTCCTCATGCTAGTGAGGTTTGGCTTTGAGCTTTGAGTTCTCATACATTTTCTTCAATACTATGACTTTTTTAGGAAGCTGTGCTAAGATGTGCTATAAGCTGTGTTCATGCTAAGGAGATATTCATATTCTGACCCTAAAGAAATTCTGATATACACAAATGAGAGCTTGTTGAACATAATGCACATGTTTTCATTAAACTTAGCTTTTTGTAGAATTTACTCCTTCTCTTCTAAATTCTTACCTAAAAATCATTTATATCCTTGGGGAATGTCTTCATTCCTTCAGAAATGATTTGTTGATTGCAGTGTGCACACTGTGGGTCACTGATAAAAAGGAAGAATTCATTACATTCAAGTGTGGGAGTGGAGGGAAGACAGCTAACATTTTTGCAGACTTATTTGTACCAAACTCTGGAAATCATTATCTTGGTATAAATCCTCACAGCCGCCTTCTGAGGTCTGGGGATTATCATCCCCATTTCACATATAATGAGACCAAGGCTCAGAGGAACCAGATGACTCACCCAAGGCCACACGACTTGTAAGGGGCAAGAGCCAATGACCAAGCCCCAGGTGTCACGGACCCCACATCCATGCCATGCCTCCACATGAGGGGTATAGAAAGTTCTGGAAAAGCTGCATGAGAGACGTGCAGCTTTGAGGGGATCAGGGAAGATGGGGTTCATGTTTTTTAACAGATTATTGGAGGATATTTGTGACTTCCCCAAAAGTAGCATCCCTCTGAAATTTGGAGACAAACATCTCATGACTCTGTACAATTCACAGCCCTTCACTGTAGATTGCTTTGTAGACAAAGTCTCCTTTCCAAGTTTTGAGTAAGCCTTTCTTTTGAGGTGCTCATTTTTAACTTTTCTGGGTACGGTCATCAGTTACACGAGCATTCCCTGGGTCTGCCTCAGTGTGTGAAGCGTCATGATGAAATGCACTCCGAAAATCCAGAACGGGAGACACTGCAACCCAGTGGGTTATGAAGTCCTCGTCCTGTGGATCAACCTGGTGGTTGAGAGAAGTCATCCCGGAAGCTAGGACCGCAGTTTGTGACCAGGACACTGTAATGAGAGATGGCACTCTGGCTGGAGCACCAAGTTCAAATCTCAACTGCCCCACTGGTTGTCAAATTGAGTTAATACACATGCAGTGCTCAGAACACTGCCTGGCCCGTAGTGCAAGCTTGGTAAGAATTAGCTGTTACTGAGTATCAGAAAATCCCCAAGTCAGCATGAATGGAAAGAAGGGAACGCTAGGAGTGGCTTTGGGGTCTTTTGGAAAACTGGATAAGGAAAGTAGTGGTGAATTAGCCTTGGTCCACAGAGTCCTTTTGAGATGGTTTATCATGTTCAAGGCCGTAAAAGATTCATCCTCCCTAAACTCACAGTATATTAACAAGGGAAAAGAACCACCCAACAGGGTCTTGGAGGGGATTATGTAAATCAACACAGATGCCCACAGATGAGTTTGGTTAAAGAAGCAACATCAGTCAATTGCATCTTTGAACCAGCAGCCCCAGGGCCAGCCCAGATCAGCAAGGAGGCAGACACTGGCGGTAGGCAAACTCCTAGCACCACAAGGGAGAAGCTTCCTGGCCCCCAGTGCCAGGAAGGACTCGGTTCTCTCCTCACCTGAGCTCCTGCTCTGGTGCCAGCCTCTCCCAAGCAAATTCCATGCATCCCAGAGATTGAGATCAGCTGGAAATGAAGCTGCCTGACTGGCTTCCCCAAATCTTTAAAACTGTAGGATCCTGGGGCTAAAAGCACTTTTTTTTTAACTTCAAATTTTTTTAATGAAAATAATAGATAAGCTTGGAAAAAGGGAGGAAGAAAGGAAGGAACTTTTAAAATGTGGTGTAAAGAGATTTAAACCAAATGTGAAAGTTTCCTTCACTTCCTACTCCTGTTTCCCAGATTTAACCAGAGTTAACAGTTTTCTTTATGTCTTTAGAGAAGTTTTATCCATAACTGTATGAATATGTATAAGCCTTTTTTATTTTTATTTTTTTGCTGAGGAAGATTCGCCCTGAGCTAACATCTGGGCAATGTTGGCTCCAAACATCCTCCAAAGAGGAAGATTGGCAGATATCTTCCTCTTTTTGTATGTAAGCCACCACCACAGCATGGCCACTGACAGGCAGGTGGTGTAAGTCTGTGCCTGGGAACCGAACCTGGGCTGCCAAAGTGAAGCACGCTGAATTTAACCACTAGGCTCCCGGGGCTGGCCCTGTTTAAGCCTTTTTTAAATTTGTGTGTGATTTTTTACTTCTCCACTTCTTACCTTCTTAACTTAATATATATTAAAGATCTTTCCACAGCATCATTATAGATCCATCTCTTTCTACTTTTATTTATTTTATTAGGATTAAATATAAAAGTATTTCAGTGAGATATGGAAATTCTGAACTCTTATGCATCTGACAACATAGCTAAAGTAAATGAACACGAAACTTGGCAGAATTACAAGGAGAAATGGATCGACCCACAATTACAGTGGCGACTTAACCAAGTCTTTCAGAAACTCACACAAATCCGTAGGCCAAAAGCAAAGAATAACGACATAGGAGATTTGAATCACACCGTTAACAAATTTGATTTAGTGGAAATATGAGGAACTCCATCTTCAATGGTTAGAGAACACACATTCTTTACAAGCTCACATGGGATGTTTAGAAAAACTGATGCACACTTGGCTGTAGAGGAAATCTCGCTACTGCTAATCTTGTAGTCATAATTTCTGAAATGGTTTTGTCTTTTCCTTGTAGTTCTTTCCTGAGTTAGTTCTACGAGTTCCTGTTTCACATCTGCCTATTTTTAATGACCATCCAGACTGAATTCTTTTATTTCTGCTTTATGGTCTTTTTTCTTACCGTAATTGCTTTGTAACAACTTTTTTCCTTCTTTTTTAACTCATGATGGGAATGGAATGTTGGGTGTAATTGTCGTCTGCTTATGGAAGGATTTTTCAGGTGAGTTTTCCTCGTCCCTGCAGAAGTTGGCTGCTCTTTTTCTTATGCTATCTTTGCATGATGCTGAGCTTATCCCTCAGGACTGACACGGTGCAGGAATTATGGCCCTTCCCCACTTTGCTTTACTCAGTAACGCCTAAGAACAACTGATACAGATGAGTGTGCCTCTGTAATTCACTTGACAAATTATCTGACTCCCCAGTTTGGAGGGAAGGATCTGTGTCTCTTTGGCTCATAGTTCATCCCAGTAACTAAATCAGTGCCTTACACGTAGTGACTGCTCAATAAATATTTGTTGAATAAATTAGCATAGAGGGGCTCAAAAAAACAGATCTGGAATTGAATTGGTCATTTATTAATGGTGTTTTGTTTTGTTTTGGTGAGGAAGAGTGGCCCTGAGCTAACGTCTGTTGCCAATCTTCCTCTTTTTGCTGAGGAAGATTGGCTCTGAACTAACATCTGTGCCCATCTTCCTCTATTTTGTTTGTGGGGCGCCGCCACAGCATGGCTTGATGAGCGGTGCGTTGGTCCCCACCCGGGATTCAAACCTGCGAACCCCAGGCCGCCTAAGTGGAGTGCGCGAATTGAACCACTACGCCACCAGTAATGTTTTAATACATTATTACAGGGAGTGTGGAAGCCAGGAACCTGAAGGAGGAGAGTCCCCACATACTGTACAGCTCTTTGTCCAAATAATCATCTTCATACTGAATCCCTTGTGCCAGGGGAAATACACTTAATGTTCAGACATTGATCCCTGGCACTCTTACACACTATTAGTGGAGTATAAAATGCTTCCTCCCCTGTATGGGGGGTGATTTGGCAAGATGCGTGTGCCAATTGATCTAGCCATTTGGGTGTTAAGAATTTTTCCCATAAAGGTGCTCACACAGTCTGCAAGGCCATGTGTATGGTAAGAAAAACTTCAGTTGCCCTCAGTTTGGGGCTAGTATACAAAGCTGGGTCCACACACCGCAGGGGTGCTCATGATGACCCATTGAGATGGGGCTGAAAAGTTACAACTATTTAGATTTATTTTTCATATAAATAAAAGATAGCATTAAGCTTCACTAATATTTAATATTAGAATGACTTTACACCATCACTCAATCAGCAGTGTTGGGTCAGATGTCCACTTAGACATTGAATTTCCAAGGCATCCTGAGAGAAGGACAGTTCCACTCCAGGGGACAAGGTTCCCACCTCACTTGTTGATTCGCTTTTAACATATGAATACTTTCTGCAGTTTCCATTTGCCTGGTTGAGTGGATTTCTAGATTATTCTCTCTTATTTTATGTTGGTAAATGCATGAACAGCCTCGGCCATTTGAGGACATTACCCTCACTTTTCCAGGGACACCCTGGCGGAAGGAGCAGACGGAGGACCTGCAGCGGGTGCTCAGGGACGTGAACAGCGAGATCCCGCTAGTCTTCGTTAGTGGCAATCACGACGTGGGCAATGTCCCCACCCGGGAGACCATTGCGGAGTTCCACCAGACTTGGGGAGATGACTATTTCAGCTTCTGGGTCGGGGGCGTCCTGTTCCTTGTCCTCAACTCCCAGTTCTTGTACGATGCCTCCGGGTGCCCTGCCTTGAAGCAGGCCCAGGACCAGTGGCTGGACCAGCAGCTGAGCATCGCGGGGCAGCGGAAGTGCCAGCACGCCATCATCTTCCAGCACATCCCACTGTTCCTCGAAAGCATCGACGAGGATGACGACTACTTCAACCTCCCCAAGTCTGTTCGGAAGGAGATGGCAGACAAGCTCTCCAAAGCAGGTAGTGGCCCAAGACCCCAGGTGTCTGGGTGGAAGGGTGGTCTGGAGAGGAGGTTTCTAGATCCTTACCCTGCCCCTTTTCAGCCTGGCAAAGGGGAGAGAGAATGGGGCTTTGGACAGAACTGGGTTCTGATCCCGGCTCTACCACTCACTGATGTCTGGCCTTGGACAAGCTGCCTAGCCCTTCTGAGCCTCAGTTTCCTCATCTGTAAAGTACGATTAGCAGAAGTAGCTCTCTCATAGGTTGGTTGTGAGGATTAAATGAGAAGAGGCCTGTAAATCATTAAAGCAGCCCCTAGCCTACCAAGTACTAAAGTTGTGGTAGCTGCTCATAGCTGAGGATGGGGAGCCCTGCAGGGTAGGGGGTTATGGGGGGGGCTGTCTGAGTGTGGCTGTATGTGCCCCGGGGGAAGGGAAGATGCCAGGGGCATCTTTTCTCATTTCTCTGAGAAGCAGGAACTTACCCAAGAGCAGATGATCTTTAAGAGCCAAGCTTCACACCTGTATTAGATATAACCTAGGAAATCCTGGGATGTGGCTGTAATGGGCAGGTCCTGGGGCCTCATCAGTTTTCCTGTAGTGAGGGCTAAGTTCTCCAGGATCAGGAGAGAGAAAGGTGTTTAGTCTGATCTTCACCTGCTGTAAATTTTTAGCTAATCATACATATGACATACGCGCACGCGCGCACACACAAAACGACGACACTCCATTTGCGGAGTTCTCAGCTTCCGAAGGCGCTGTGTGCAGCACTAGCCCACACACCTCGCTTCTCCTCCTGGTGGCACCTGCAGTATTCCTCTCTTGAAAAACGGTGTGTTCTCAGCCAATTCCCTGAGTTACCAGTGACTTGACAGGATTCCAATTTTGACAACTGTTGTCTGTTTTTTTGGTCCTAGTGCCTCCTTTCAGATCTTTCCAGAGTGTACTTCATCAAACTCTTCTAAAATTTAAATATATTCATTTATTTGTTAGGGGGTAGAGAGAAGGAGGTGGCCTGACCCAGCAGCAAGCATTCATTAAAATAAAAAAAAGATTCTGACACTCTTTTTTTCATCTTTGAGCATTAAATGTGTTCGCATTTCCTTGTGAAAAGTACAATAGGCCCTTCTGTGTTTTTGAGACATTTTACAAAAAGCTTGCATAATTGGAGACATTTTCCAACTGTTCCATGGAGATGAAGTTGGAAAACTTCTATTAAGGCCTTTGAAATTTTATGCCATGCTTGAGTTGGTGCAGAAAACCATTTTGATGACAAGGAAATGAAGTGTCAAGATGGCATCAGTACCACCATGGAAACTATTTTGTAACAGAGAATAATGCCAGAGAGAACATTTAATGCCACTGAAATGATTCCTTTCATATCAAATGTTAAATGATGCAAATGCCCCCTCCCCATGGCTGCTCTCTGTTCTCTGTTCTTGTCAACCACATTCTTGAGTGGCATGTGGTTCTGGGTCTGCCATCGCAGGATGGAGCACGTGCAGCCCAGGAGCACTCCCAGATATCGAGACCTGTAGACATGGATAAAGAGAGAGCCCACAGCTCTCACAGGGCATCCTCGGGGGAAGCTTGCTGCCCACCCACCAAGAACCCCAGAGGGTGACATTGTATCCAGGATGCACCAGCCACCTCCCCTGTCAGGCCTGCAGCCCTGCAAGCTCAGGAATGGTTTGTCAGCACACCCAGAGCTGGTCTGCGTCTTAGAGGTGGGCTCCCATTGCCCCAGCTCAGAGTGGTATCTACCACCAGAATGCCAATTGATTCATTTAGAGCAAGACTAAAGCCCTCCCCTCAGCCTCAGCAGTGCAGTCTCTTCCTGTAGGCAGAGTGACATGGGAAGGCAGATTATAATCAGGAGGTTGCTTGCTAAGCATGAGACAGAGCAGGGAAGCTGGTTTCCTTATTCCACTCCTAATGGCATCAGGCTCTGGAACTCTGATGGATCCATCTCCAGTAGGGCCTCCTTGCCCGGGAAGACTGATATTTCATGTGCCGTTAATTCTACCTTGTTAATGTCTCTCCAGCCTGTCGGTCACTTTAGGCCACCATTGTCTCTCATCTGGGTCAGAGCAACAGCTCTGAGTTGGTCCCCCTGCCCCACTCTTGCCCCATTCCAGTGCATTCTCCACCTAGCAGCCAGAGAGGTATGTAGCTCCACAACCTCCACCCTTCTGAGGCCTCCTCGCCCCCAGGGGCAGGCCAGCTCCTCACGCTTCTCCATCATCTCTGCCTCTTCCATGTCACCTGGCCAGCACCTCAACTGTGACACCTTGTGTATGAGGTGCCCCCCCCAGCCCTGCCCCACTCCAGGTTCTCTCTCAGCTTTCCTTGATCCCAGAGGATTTCTAAGTGTCGACTTGTCTGAATTCTCCACTAGACTCTCGGCTCCTTGAAGGCAGAGACACTGTTATATTCATCTCTGTGTTCGGGAGGCCTGGCTCAGGTTTTAGCTCACAGTAAATGCCTCATCAGTATTTGTGGGATGAATGAAGGACTGAAACTCTCTGACTCAGGCTCCTTCCCTCGGTAGCCAACTGACACAGCTCATTTATTTGTTTGGCACCCACTGTATGCCAGGCACAGAGTAGACCAGGTCCACGTTCTCACGGAGCTCCTGGGGACAGCCGTTCCCTGGTGTGTTCCGAGTGTCAACACACGTCACACAGCCTCAAAGTCCTTTGGTCTTGGGTGAAGCCACTTGTGTGTCTCTGCTGTGATCCACATACTGGCTTTCCAGGTTCACCCAGCAGTCGATTTCTCTCTTCCCAAGTGCCTCTCCAGTATTCCCACCATACCTACTTCATGCATGAGAAGGCATCCTCTTCTTGGCCACTGGCCTTAGGATCTTGGCCTAAACCTGCTTAATCAAGGAAAACCAGAGAGATGGGGGCCCTTCCTGCAGTCACCTGTCAGTTTTAGTGGCTTATCAAACCGGGACCTCTGCTTAATGGCCTTTCAAACCCAGAACAAACCACGGGCAACATCAGGAAGAGGCCCAGGTCAGATGTGGACACAGCTCCGTGGCAGGCTGAGTGGCCTCCTTGGTCTGGAAGCATAGGTAGGTGGGCTCTCATGGGGAACGTGTGCTCATGACTCAGTATGCAGAAGACTGCTCGGGTCACGGCAATGTTATTTCAACTCATTTTAGAAAGCCAGCAGTTCAAGTGACATTTTGTAAAATTCATTAACTTAAAGACCATGATAAAATTGGGGGTGATGGTGGCAGATGGTATTTAATACTGCCTCCGGCTTTTTTCCCCCACAGAAATATTATTCCCTAGTACTAGTTCAGTCTCATTTATCTCCTTGTGCTAAAATGCCAGTACTCAAAAATATGTCAAAAGCTCATCAGAATATCAGGGTAGCTTTTAATTATGATAATTGTGTTGTTATAAAATATCCTTTTAAAGAGCACATCCCTCCTCAAACCACCATGGAGGTAAAACCCAGCTTCCTTCCAGCAAGCTTAATGAATAATTCTAAATCATTGTGTGGGCTGAATAAATGATTTCATGACGAACATCAACAATCATCTCACATTGTTGCATTAATTTTTTAAATGGGATGAGGTAGATGAGGAGGAGGGGTGTTACTATACAATGGGCCACCGTGTGTGAAGGGGTGCGTTCTGTGAATCAAAGCCTGCGAGCTGCCAGGCTCAGGTTTCCCTAGAAACGGATGCATTCTGTTTCTACTTCTGCAGCTCAATAAAAAACCTTCTTTGTATGATACAAAACGTTGTCGATAGCCAGTACAAATAAACAGTTATCAGGGCAGGACAGAGGCACAGATGTGAAGCAGCACCGTTATTTTCTGTCTTCTTTTGCTCTGCCTGAGGATAATCAATTTCTGCACCACGGGATGCAGAAATTGGTTTTCCTTAATTCACCTGATACCTAGTTGGAGTTGCAAAGACAGCTAGTAGGTAATGAAATATTGGTTGAATCTGACCATTGTCTCCTTCCCTCATGCCTTTTTCAGCAAAAGGTTAATATGTGACCTAGTTAATGTGGATTCTAATTTGAAAACTCAATCTTCAAAAACAAAAGTCTAGCTCTTTAACTGACCCTGTTTCTCTTGATGTCTTGATACCTTTTCTTTTTTCCATTCTCAACAGAGAGATTAGAACTGTGTAGTAGAGAGCCCAGGGCACGTTTGGCAATTATGAAAAATTCTAATAAGTTGATCTTTCCTGCAAAAGCTAATGAGTAATTTCACAGAATTATAGTTTTATCTCTAGTATTTATGCTTTTTTAAAAAAACTAGAGAGAGATCTTAGTCTATGGTTACGGTTTTAGGATTTCAAAGTTGTAAAGAACAAAAAGGTCAGGTTTCCACTTTCTGGGAAAATAAAACATGAGGTCCTACTCTAACGTCTTACTGCATTGTATTGAAATTATTTGTTTCCATCCTGATTCTTTTAAGAAATGCAGTCCCAGCTTTGGTCACCTCTCTAGGCCCAGCCCCTAGCCAAGACTCACGTAGTAGCCCCTCAGTAAGTAAATATTGGTTAAATGGAATTGAATTAGACTTGATTCAAATCTACTTGTTAGTAGAATCATAGGGAATGTCTGTATTACCTGTGGATTGGTGTTTACCAACTGACTTTTGGGTGGGAAATGCATCACCTAGAGCAGGGGTTGGCAAACTTTTTCTGCAAAGGGTCAGACAGTAAACATTTTGGGCTGTAGTCTCAGTGGTGACTACTCAACTGTGCCTTTGTAGTGTGAAAGCAGCCACAGATGATACCTAAGCAAATGGACGTGGCTGTGTTCCAGTAAAACTTTATTTACAGAAACAGGTGGTGGGCCTTCCAGCCATGGTTTTCTCACCCTTGGCTTAGAGAAATATTCCCATGACTGTGTGACGCTCTTGCTCCCTATGCACTATGCATACGTCTAATTCCAGGATGCTTCTGGTGACCCCGCTGTGACTCACTGAAGGGTCTGCCCAGAACGAGCCTGAGGTTGCTCAGTGGAGGGCGTGACTGGTGAGGTACAT